GTGTGTGTGAGACTGGTCGATGGCTAACTAATTTGATATCAGGTTCAACTGGGCGTCCAGGAAACTGTATAGGCGGCTACTACAACTAGGAGCAAGCGAGCTATATCCGCGCGGGGAAGCAGATGAGCAGCATCCAGAGGGGTATGTATCTCTGCTTTTTTTAACAATATATATGCTGGCTAACAGGGAACTAGGCTTGAAGGGACCTTTTTGCCCTGGTCTCTGGACTTGCGGAAGCATCTTCTTGACAAGTTCCCTCTGAAGGAAGGACAACATCCTATTCCTGATGATGTCCGTCTACCACCCAAATGGATTCTAGACCATTATGACTTGAAGGACGAAGATGGGGAAACTAGACCAAAGCAACCGTCTAGAGCCAAGGAGGCCAATTCTCCGGATCATGATACCCGACCACTCCCAGGGTCCATTTCGGCAACACTTACAGACAACACTCGAATGACGCCGTCAGACCACTGGCAGGATGTTCGGCATTTAGTTCTAACTGCCTCGGAATCTATAAAGTATGCGCCGGGGGATATACTGCACATCACTCCTCGGAATTTCCCCCAGGATGTAGATAGACTTATATCACTGATGGGCTGGGAAGAACAAGCCGATATACCTCTACAGTTTGTGACTGGGGATGGCTCCCTTGCGTCAGCCTCGGTCTCTGCACCGTCAATTCCCTTCTTGCTTGGTTCACCTGGTTTCACTCTCCGCACGCTTCTTACCGACTATCTAGACATCATGGCCATTCCCAGACGGTCATTTTTCAGTCAGTTTGCCCATTTCACAAGTGACGAGATGCACAAAGAGCGACTTTTAGAGTTCACGAATCCAGAGTACATAGATGAGTTCTACGACTATACCACCCGGCCGAGACGAAGCATACTGGAGGTCTTGGCTGAGTTTGATACCGTTAAGATTCCATGGCCATCGGTCTGCTCCGTTCTGCCGGTGCTTCGAGGAAGACAGTTCAGTCTGGCAAGTGGCGGCAAGCTCAAGACCTCGGCGCGTGGGGGTACACGCTTTGAGCTGCTGGTTGCCATTGTCAAGTACCAGACTGTGATCAAGAGGATCCGCCAAGGGGTTTGTACGCGGTATCTAGCTTCTTTGCAGCCCGGAAGCACGCTGAAAGTGCAGGTGCAAAAGGGGGGACTCCATTCTTCAGCCAAACAGCTCTCTGACCCATCTGTGTTGATTGGTCCCGGAACAGGCGTTGCTCCAATACGGTCTCTGCTGTGGGAAAAAGCGGCGATGGCCGAGGAGTACAAGAAGAACCAGAACCGCGGTCCAGACGAGCAGCCCTTGACTCTTGGGCCTGTGATACTGCTGTACGGTGGGCGCAACAAGGCAGCAGATTACTTCTTTGAAGGTGAGTGGGAAGAGCTCAAGACCCAGCTCAACTTGAGGGTGATCACGGCCTTTTCGCGAGACCAGAAGAAGAAGTACTATGTTCAAGATGCGCTGCGGGAGAACTCCTCGATGTTCTATGAGCTGCTGCACGAGAAGGGAGGGTCGGTGTTTGTGTGTGGCTCGTCTGGCCGGATGCCCCAGGCTGTTCGGGAGGCGCTGATAGAGGCCTTCCAGGCTCCACTGGGCGATTCCGCAGAGAGCAGACAGATGGCGGAGAAGTACCTGATAGACATGGAGAAGGTCGGGAGATACAAGCAGGAGACGTGGTAGTAACTACACTCTTGGATAGGATAGAATATCAACTGTTGAATAACTACTTAGTAGTAGTAGTATTAGTAGTAGACTTCAGTGTTGACGATGAGGCGCCCAGAGCCGACGTTCGGCCTCGCCGTCCGAAAAGAACCGCGGCTTGGCACAGACGACCCTGCTCGGCCCTTTTTTTTCGTAGCAGGCAAAGCAACGCAAAACGACAACTTGGCTGTCAAGATAACACATCTTATTATTATTATACACGCCCTGGACGAGAGTTGAGAAGAGCTTTTCTCAGGTCAAGGACAGACGAGATCAGAGACACATTTCACAATGGCCAGCGCATTGAGGATATTAGTGCCCGTCAAGCGGGTGCTCGACTACACCGTGAGTGCCCATCCTGTTCCTGCCGAGGTGACCACGAGGGCCGGTGAAGCTGCATATCACCCCCCTTGAGCTTGACGATACCTCAAAGAGATACCACTTGATACTCTCATTCCACGTTCTATTCGACCAAGACGGTCAATGAAGATTCAATGCAGATGCTAACTGACAGCAGCTCAAACCCCGCATCGGCAAGTCACAGACCAGCGTCGACATCACGGGCATGCGACAAGCGATGAACCCCTTCGACGAGCTCTCGATGGAAGAAGCCTCCCGCCTGCGAAAAGACAGCAAGTCGCCCATGAAGGTCTCCGAGGTACTGGCCGTCTCCGCCGGCGGGCCCAAGACTGTCGACGTCCNNGAACCGCGCTGGCCCTGGGCGCCGACCGAGCAATGCACGTCGAGGTACCCGAGGCCAAGGAGGGATTCTACTCTGGCCTGGAGCCGCTGACAGTCGCCAAGATGCTGAAGGGGGTCGTGGAAAAGGAGAAGATCAACCTAGTCTTCTTGGGCAAGCAGGCTATTGACGGCGACCATGGCCAGACGGGCCAGATGCTGGCTGGGCTGCTGGGCTGGTCACAGGCTACGCAGGCGAGCAAAGTGACTGTCAAGGACGGCGAGGGCACGGTGGAGGTGACGAGGGAGGTGGACGGGGGTGTTGAGACGCTGGAGTCGAAGCTGCCCATGATTATCACGACGGACCTGCGGCTGAACACGCCCAAGTTTGCGACGCTGCCGAACCTGATGAAGGCGAAGAAGAAGCCTATTGAGAAGGCGACGCTTGCGGACTTTGGACTGGACGAGTCTCGACGGCTGAACACTGTCAAAGTTACGGGTATGTCTACTATTCGATTACTTTCTCCGTGTATGGATCCTAGCTAACTATGACTGTGATAGAACCACCGACGAGACAGGGTGGCAGCAAAGTCGAGGACGTCGACGGCCTCATCTCCAAGCTGAAGGACCTTGGAGCCTTGTAAATATAGTATAGACGAAACGATTTCCTTGTCTTCTGTCTTGTCTTCTGTCTTGTGTCTGTCTGTCTTTTGGTATGGGCAAGTAACGGCTTGCTACTGTCATGTCTGCAGTCCTGTACATCACCGGTAACCAGAGTAAAAAAGACTACCACTTTCACCTATTCACCTACCCAAGTACTCTTCCACTATCTTACTCTTCTGCTTAACTACTCTTCTTACTCTCCTTCCTCTTCTTCATCATCTCCTGTCCTTCTGCATCTGATATACATCTACCCAGGACTCTCTTCTAGCACTCAACCTCGGGACTCCCACTAGCTATGCTTCTATGGTGTAGTGGTAGCACATCGGATTTTGATTCCGACGACGTCAGTTCGATCCTGGCTAGGAGCTTTTTTCTCCTTTTTGCCTTTTTGCCTTTTTTTTTTCTTGTCTTTCCTTATCACTTTTTCCTACTAGTCACTTTTATGCCTGTGATCTGTGAGACCCTGGGAGTGCAGGAGATCTGCATAAGTCGACTGATATACCCTTGCGCAGCGCCTCGAGCTCCAGTTAATCTACCCTCGACACGCTACAGCTCAGAAAATAACAGCCGTGATATGACTATTATTGAAGGAAAGGATAAAAAAAAAAAGGAGGATTCTCCAGCTGGCTCCTCTCTGGCTCCTCGCTGGCTCCTGTGGCTCCGCAGCCTCTGCCGGTGCTTCCATGTAGCTAAGCGAGACGGCCTCGCCCTGCAGGTACCAGGTACTCGCGGCCAGGCAGCCACAGCGCGGTGGCCAGAGGTATCCCTGACTCCGGCCCTTCGCCTGCTGGGACCGATGACGTTTGGGGGACCAGCAAACCAGCAACGCCGCAAGGACTAAGGCAACTAGCCCACTAGCTAAGCTGAAGAAAGACCAAGAGCCGACTGATTGCATGCATGCCAACCAAAGGGGAGAGGAAAAAAGAGACCCGAAGCCACCAAGAAGGATTTTCGAGTTCTTTTCTCCTCTCTCTCTCCCTCTCCATTGCCTTCTTTCGCTTCGGCTTCGTGATAACTATCCCAGGCGAGCGAGGCGGCGTGGCCGGGCGAGCTAGCTACTGGCGCAGTCTAATAATATAACGGACAGCCGGCTCTTCCTTGGTCTTCTTTTCTTGGTTCTCTTTTCTTGGGTCTTCTTGTTAAAAGCTTTCTTTGGGCCGAGACACGCCAGATAAGCTGCTGCATTGAACGAACCTGCGTTTGGTTCGCGCGGCGTGGAGTTGTGGCCTGCCATCGCCATCCATCGAGCTGGGATCGCACCTTGTTTTCCCAATCTTCTGTCTGATATATATACACTTACATTACATATATACTGCAGCATCTACAGCCTGGCGCTCCTTTTTGCGGGTCTATACATATACTATATAGACAGTTCCTGCTCCTTCGCCGGCTTTTCCTTTTCTCTTCTTCTTTTTCTTCCTCCTCGCCGTCGTTCCACAAGGCAAAACCGGCCCGGTCCCTGCTTGAGGAGAACAACTATTAGATTCTTCCCTCTCTTTTCTTATTACTCTTTCGCTTTCTGATCTGCCTCTCCTTTTGCCTATATTTCCATATCAACTAGCTTTTTCAACAGTTTTTCTCTGCTGTTTGGTCTTTTTTGTTGCCGCTGCTGGGGCTGCGCGGCCGGCAAGGGGGGGGTCATCTGGCCTGAAACACCCTTGCATTCGCATCGCATTCAACACACTCAGCAGGCCCCAGCACCACAAGCACCGGCAGGAGACGAGCAAGCATCAGCAGCTTGCAAGGAGACACAGCCTGCCAGACAGACACACACACACCCAGGCAGCCGGCGAAGAAAGGGGGGGAGCAGCAGAAGCAGAAGAGAGGACGAGACGGCCCAAGGGAGGGTTCCGCTTCGGCCCCTCTCTTCATTTCTCTATATACTTACAATCTTCTCCCGATCCTGAACGGCCGGCAGCAGATCGAAGCACCGACAGCTTTGAGACAGCCGTCGTCTTTCCTTTATTGTTGTCCCCCTTGACCTGCTTCTTGGTCTGGCTTCTTCTTTTCTGTTTTATTTCTCTTCTTCCGCAGCTTCTTCTTGTTGGCGTCGGTTCTCGGCCATCAAGGGACTGCAAGCTACTACTACGACTACTACATCATGTCACAGACGTCGACGTCAACGTCGACATGGGAACGAACCAAGGGCTACTCCAAGCGCGGCTTCGACAAAGCATGGCACCAGCTGGACAGGATTGGACGGCCAGTCAACCGTCTATCCAACAGACTTGGCGCAGAGGCCTTTTGGCCGACGACGCTCGACCAGGAGAGCGAGAAGGCCGCGCGCATTCTCCGCAGCTTCTGCAGAGACGGCTTCTACGGCCAGCTCGACTCGGACAGGGACGGCGGCAGCCATACCAGCAGCCCGCAGATGAAGCCGGCAGAGGCTCGCGCATCGCCCCAGCGCAGCCGGTTCTCATGGAGATTCAGCCTGCAACCTCTACAGTCGCCAAAGTCGCCTCAGCAGCAACAGCATCTACAGCAGCAGCAGCAGCAGCAGCAACAACCCCAACAACAACTGCAGCCTCCTCCGTTGACGCTGCCTCCACAGCAGGGGGAGCAGGGGCCTCGCGGTACCCAGCAGCGGGCGATTAAGAAGATACCTGCTTCTGTTATCAGACAGGCCAAAGGATTGGCCATCTTCACTACCATGCGAACCGGTCTGTGGGTCAGCGGCGCTGGTGGCAGTGGAGTCCTCGTTGCTCGTCTGGCAGAGACGGGAGAATGGAGTCCGCCATCAGGAATCATGCTACATACCGCCAGCCTGGGCTTCCTCGTCGGAGTCGACATCTACGATTGCGTGGTGGTCATAAACACCTACGAGGCCCTCGACGCCTTCAAGACGCTCAGATGCACCCTGGGCGGCTCGCTAAGCGCCGTGGCCGGTCCAGTCGGTGTGGGAGGCGTGCTAGACTCCGAAGTGCACAAGCGACAGGCTCCCATCTGGTCCTATCTCAAGAGCAGAGGTCTCTACGCCGGCGTCCAGGTCGACGGAACCATCGTTATCGAACGGACAGACGAGAACGAGCGCTTCTACGGCCAGAAAATCAGCGCTTCAGAGATCCTCTCGGGCAAGGCCAAGCATCCTCCTCCATCTATCTCTACCTTGATCCAGACCCTCAAGGCAGCCCAGGGTGACCAGGATATAGACGAAGCGCTGCTCCCTCCGCCCGGAGAAGCTCCCGGAGACGCCGAGATCTCGCTCGCCGGAACCTTTGGAGTGCCAGAGGAAGACGACCCGGATCCCTACGGCGTCAGGGCCCTCGAGCGCGAGGGTGTCATCATCCGCGAAGCTGGCACCAAGCGCACTCCCACGCTCGACGTCTTTGACTTCCGGCCCAGTCCCACCAGCCCCATCAGTCCAAGATGGAGCAACAGAAGCAGCTGGCGCTCTAGCACCCAGAGCGCCATGAGCACCGATAAGGGCACACAGACCAATCTCGACGAGCTCGACCGGGGGCGGCGAAGTCCCTCCACGGCCAGCCACACTTCATCTCGCTCCCACAGCATCAAGGACGTTTCCTCTTCCATACACGAACATACCTCTGACACAGAACATTCGTCCACAGGCGAACCTGACCCGGCCTCAATACCCATCCCTGCATCATCAGCTACGTCCCGCGCACATTCTATATCCTCTAAGGTTCCCGAGGCCATCCCCGAGTCGTCTCTGCCTGAATCACTCCCTGAATCACTTCCTGAAACAGAGTTCTCCGTCGCAGTAGCCGAGCAAGCTATCCCGCAACGAATCAACTCCAAGAGCTCCCCCTTCGCTCGAGCAAAGCTCGTTACCATTCCGAAACGAAACCCCCCTGCTCTGCCCGCCCGGAACCCAGGCCGAACACTCTCCACCGTCGCCACGCTCTCTGAAGCCAGAGACTCGGGCCTCTTGGCACTTAGTCTGGAATCAGACACTGATCTGCCTCAGCCGCTGGCCAGGGAAGTCTCGCATGAATCTGATGTTTCTGAGGGAGCTACGAAACGCCGTGGATCTAACCTTTCGTTGCATTCACATACTTCTCATACGTCTCATACGTCCAGGCGCACGTCTACCTCTCCCAAATCGACATCTCCCTTGTCGAAGTCTGTCTTTCTCGCATCGGAGTCTGATGCTTTCCCTGAGACAGATCTAACTGCATCGAAACATTCTTCTTCTTCCAACGCGGAGTTAGACGCCATAGAGGAGCCCGCAGAGGAACCCAAAGAGGAACCCAAAGAGGAACCCAAAGAGGAACCCAAAGAGGAACCCAAAGATGAACATAAAGAAGAACCCGAGAAAGTCTCCGAAAAAACTGTTGAAGAACATTCTCTCGCCCCTGGCGCATTCCCTTCAGACGACCATATATAAACATATCTATTCCTCTACTGCTACTGCCATCATTATACATCTCCTTATCGCCCACGACTCCCCTTACGACCATCTAGCCTGTCTTTTAATCTCCAAAAACTTTCATCTATACCAGACCTACACTACCTTCGATTTTACTATACATCTTACATTTCTGGTCTCTACATCTGCTTCTTATATCCTAGCAATGCGCGCTGGTCTGCTTCTGCTTCTGATTTGCCTGTACGCTTTTTAATCACAGTACCCCTTGGGTTGTCTTTTTCCCCGCTGTTTTTTTCTCACGCCGAGAATATACCTTTGTACCATGCTACGAGAACGGATTGGGAGGAGGGCGTTTCACTGTTCATATTCAAACTGTTCTTTTATTTCGAGATATCCACCGGGGCTGTTCTTTGCATTTGCTGTCTTTGCTGTTTTCGGCCTGACCTGCTGTTCCTGGAGTACCTTTTTTCCTTTCTTCTTATCCTGTCCTATCCACCCTCACGCAGAAATGTACTTTAAACCATGCATATATGAAAACTCCGCTGTATATTCCTTCCACAGCCGCCCCCCTTTCCTCGTCTTTGCTGTCCGTCCATTAATATCCGTCAGGCAGCCACTTCTGCCTGGCCCTTAGCACCACTTATATAATCACAGAGCCGCACGGAGGTGTCGGCGCTTAGCCTAAAAGGGGCTGCAGCCTGGGAGGCGGCTTTTTTTAGCTTTCCCGCAACTTTAGGCTTCGGCGCGCGCCTTGTCAACTTTGCTGGCACCGCAGCCGCAGCTGCGTTGTTGATATAAATACGGCATCTCGCGCCCCCTTTTCCCCATCCAATTCAACTTCCCTTCCATCTTCCCAGCACGCAGTAAGACATCCATCCGCCCTCTCTTCTAATCCCTGCCTCGTTGGCCCCCTTTTTTTCCCTCTCGCTCTCCCCTTCGCCATGTCCAAACCACTTGCAGGTCAAGTCGTTGTAGTCAGCGGCAGCTTCAGAGCGTATAACCATGGTAAGCCCAATTCCATCACCCAATTGTCCTTGACTCGCTTGTCCCACCCATTTCCCCACCAGCCAATTGACGAGTTCCCATTCTAGAAACGATCAAGTACATCGTTGAACAGCTGGGCGGTACCTTTAGCGCTACGGTGACCGATGCGTGTACACATCTCGTCACTTCCAAGGCTGCGCATCCGGCCGGTACAAAGAGTAAATAGGACCTTTCTCTCCTTTGCACCTTACTCGATCTCCTCGGATACATGTACCGTTGACAATGGCGGATCCAATTCTACCTCCAATTGCTCGGCAATTCATACACTGGGACAGTACAACTTACGCTTTGCAGACCAGCAGGCTATTGCGCTAGGGAACGATATTAAGATCGTTTCTCTCGATTGGTTGACTGATTCGCGCGATAAGCAGACGCATATGTACGAGAGTCCGTATTCGCTTGCTTTGCCGGCTCCGGGGAAGCCTTCGGTAGACGGTACTGGTCCTCGAAGATCTGGCAGGACTACTCAATCTCAGTCCCAGTCCCAGTCCCAGTCCCAGTCTCAATCCCAATCGCAGGTCCAGTCTCAGCCTCCAGCCCAGTCACAACCTGCAAAGACCAATGGAAAGGCTAAGAAGAGGGCTAAGAACAAGAAGGATGAGGATGATGAGGACGATGCTGCTGATCAGCCACCTGCGAAGAAGCAGAAGGCTGATCCGGCAGATACCAAAACCCAGACCAAAGCAAAGGCTGCCAAAGACGCCAAAGACACTAAAGATACCAAAGATACTAAAGATTCTAAACCTACAAAGGCTACAAAAGATACCAAGGCTGCCAAGAATGATGAGTCTGTTCTTAATGTCCCGGTTGATGATCCCGTTCCAAACAAGAGTAAGTTGCATAAACATTCATCCAATATCAACCAGTGTCTAACTTGATTTCCTATCTAGGTTCGTACAAAGTCTGGCAAGATAAAGGCGTTGTCTTTGACGCTGCCCTGAACAAAACCGACTCAGGCGCCAACAACAACAAATTTTACTTCATCCAACTCCTCGAGGGCCCGAATTCTGGAGACTTCTCCACGTGGACCCGGTGGGGCAGGGTTGGCGAAAAGGGCCAGATCTCTCACCTGAAGGCCTCGAGTTTCGACCAGGCTATGAACACTTTTGAGAAGAAGTTTAAAGACAAGAGCGGCCTCGCCTGGGCCAAGAGGAATGATGCTCCAAAGAACAACAAGTACACTTATCTGGAACGATCCTATGAGGACGAATCGGCCAAGAAGCCGAAAAAGGACAAGCCGAAAGACAACAAGCCAAAGAAGGAGATTAAAAAGGCAGAATGTACTTTGGTAAAGCCCGTGCAGGACCTCGTTGCACTGATCTTCAACCAGACTCACTTGAACGCCGCTATGGAGGACATGTCGTACGACGCGAAGAAACTGCCATTGGGAAATCTTAGCCAGAAGACTCTCCTCCAGGGCTTTGAGATCCTGAAGCAGTTGGATGCACTGGTGCATGACCCCGTTAAGGCAGCACAGTCTCCCGCCGACATCAACAGACTCAGTAACCAATATTTCTCCTTGATTCCTCATGCGTTCGGTAGGAATCGGCCGCCTGTGCTGAGATCGGCACCGCAAATTAAGAAGGAGGTTGAGATGTTGGAAGCACTGACTGATATGGAGATCAGTAGCAAGATTATGAGTGCCTCCGAGGAAGATGATGATAACCCCGTTCATATTCTTGACAGACAGTTCCTGGGACTTGGTCTTAATGAAATGACTCCTCGTAGGTCCCCCTATACAATGCTTCTTACTACCTCTCTTATACTAACGGAGTTATTTTCTAGTTGACCACGCATCAACTGAGTTCACCGAGTTGGCAGAATATCTTACTCGATCTCACGGTGCTACACACAGCATTAAATACGACGTAAGTACCGACTCCAACAATGCTACAGGCAAGACAACTGAATTAACTGTGTGTGATCAGCTGCGCAACATTTTCCGCGTTGAGCGTCATGGAGAAAACGAACGCTATGAAAAATCCCCTTACGCCAACATTCCAAACAGCTGCCGTCGTCTACTCTGGCACGGTTCCCGTACCACCAACTACGGTGGTATCCTCAGCCAGGGACTCCGAATTGCTCCCCCCGAAGCCCCCGTTACCGGCTACATGTTCGGTAAAGGTGTCTACTTTGCTGATGTTTCGAGCAAATCAGCCAACTACTGCTACCATGACCTCAGCGACAACATTGGCTTACTCATGCTTTGCGATGTTGAAGTAGGCAACTCAATGCTTGAACTGACCAGCTCCGACTACCGCGCTGGCGACTTGGTCAAGAAAGCTAATAAATTGGCTACTTTGGGTCGTGGACAAGCTATCCCTAGTGGATGGAAGGACGCCGGTTGTGTTCACAAAGACCTCGCCGGTGTTTTGATGCCGGACTGCTCTAACCCGCTTGCTTCGGATTCTAGTAATGGTGTATGGCTTCAGTACAACGAGTATATCGTGTACGATGTGGCGCAGATACGCATCAAGTATCTGCTTGAAGTTGGAATGAAATATTGAGAGATGTGTTTCAGCCTGTCAGCTGCTGCGTTTGGTCTAATTCCTATTTTTGGCGTTTTCTCTTCAAAACTTCAGGGCTCTGCGGAGTCAATATTCTTTTTTTATATAATAGACTTGTATATTTTTGTTTGTCTTTAGCCTTGCTGATTTACAACCTGCCTGCTGTGCCTTTTCTCTATGATTATTTGTGCAAAAAGCCGTCCATCAGCTGCTGGACCATCCGCCTCTTCCCGTCTTCCCACTCATCCCAACACAGCCCACAGTACACTGTGTCTCTACCCACGGCCTTCTTGTCTGCGTGAGCTGGCATCTCCTTGCCATTGCCTTGCTTCTTTCTCTGCACGGCGTCATGAAACACTCGATCCCACCGCAGAATCCCTTCCTGCTCGAATCCCATCTTCCTAGCCGTTGCCCGGGAGGCTGCATTCGTCGTCGCAGTCTGCCAAAGCACTTTGCGCAAGCCTAGCCCCCCCTTTGTCGGATCACTGCCGTCGGGAGGATCCAGTGCATACTGCAGCATCAGTCCTATCGTATGAGTCGTCACATGCGTCCGCTGAAATTCCGGGAAGACGACCATGAACGCGATCTCGAGCAGTTGATTATCCACCGAGGCGTAGGAATATGTCACAATTCCTGCCAAAGCTCCTCCATCTTCCGACGGGCCTGGTTTGGTCTTGTCTATGATGGCAAAGGCCACTCTGGTGTTACTCCTGCACACCTGCGGGTAGAAGTACTTGGTCTGGAACTCTTCGACATCTGCAAATGGCCCGATCGGCATATGAGCAAAGATCTCCGGCTTATCGGCTGTCTGCTCTATGAACGTCTTCGAGTGGCGGACTGGCTGGAACCATAGATAACCACCGGTTAATTACAACGAACTCCGTCGACGCGATGCCAGGCCAGCTACACCTGGCTGCGCACACCACAGTCATAAAACTGCCTAGGACCGTGGGCTTCTTACATCGAACAGCTTAAGTTTCACCAACGCGCTGGTGAGCTCCCTGATGGGGAAGCAAAATCCGACGTCCGCTTCCATCCTGGCCGGGCTAGAGGAAAAGCTCGAGGGTCAAAGGGTATTTTAACTAGTGTACGGAGTAAATGTTGGGCTGGTTGACCAAGTGGAAGCAGCAGTTCCAGTACAGTGCCCAACTTGTTGGTATCTCTTGGTTACATGATGATGATTTATAAGACTCTGAAGCGGTCTCTAGGCATCCGCTGGCTGGGAATAGTTCGGCCAGAGAAAGCCCGTCTTCAATGTCATCCTCCGTCGGTGCGCATGGTTGCACTCCGTATAACTAGTTAACTAGTTAGTTATACGAAAATGTCCACGCAGCCTGAACCGCCAAAGTTCAGATCAGAATCCACAGCACAATTCTGAAGCCATGTCGACATCCGGGTGTGCAAAAGGCACAGCCTGGACCACCCGATAGCTCGCTAGGTTAGTTCACTAACTCGTTAACTAATTAATGCATGAATTGGTTTCCAAGGGCGACCGCAAACTACGCTTGAATCACACCATCCCTTGCTGCTTGGGATAACATCATTATTATACGGGGCCAGGGTTGGCCCTGGAGAACCAACGGCCGTCTCGTATCTTGCGCCCAAGCAGTTGGCTGCCTCAAAGATGCCGAGAACAGCCGGAAGGACGTGTGAGTACGAGATAACTGTGGGGGAGACTTCATCGAAGCTTTGCTGAGAGAGGCTTGACAGGCTTGATGTCAGTCTAGGCAAGGGTACGCTTCATTCCGCCAGCAAGTTACTCGCTGAACATGGGTGATAAGATTGCATTTGCCGTTAAAACATACCTTGGTGCCCTCAGCTTGCCTCGACGATATCTCTCTGAGACCCATCACCCAAAATTGGCCATGCATCAGGCATCTTCCGGGGATCGACATCTCTGTCATTGGCCAGCTTCCACTTAAACCTTGTATCAAGATCAATCTTGAAGCAAGCTCTTCCCATATCCCCGGACGAAATGATGCTTTCCCCGCATCCTTTACGTTTCCCATGAAGGGTGTCATGTTTACCCCTTCGTTTTGCTTTTCTTTTCGTTGACGGAGCACTATAAAAGGGCCTTTAGTGTCCGCCTGGGACGATGGTTTATTTTTCCAGGAGCACTGACCAGGAGGCGAAGCTCGTGGGAAGCTTTGGTGGCTGATATACTGTGTCTCTGCTCTTTTCTTGTCCATTCAGCAACATACCTCCACGATGCGCTTGGCCGCTAGCATTGCGGTGGCCCTGCCAGTCATTGGCGCTGCCAGTGCTCAAGGCTTCCCTCCACCCGTTACGGGCGTCACTGTGGTCAAATCCAAGTACGACGAAAACGTAAAGATCACATACAAGGAGGTATGCATTTACGTTGTTTGCACATCCTGAGCTTGTATCCTACAAGCAATCTGGCTGACTCACTGGATAGAATGACATATGTGAAACCACAGAAGGAGTTAGATCATTCACCGGTCATGTCCACCTCCCTCCAGACAACGATTACTTTGGTGTCTACCAGAACTACTCCATCAATACATTCTTCTGGTTCTTTGAAGCTCGTGAAGACCCCAAGAATGCTCCTCTCTCCATCTGGCTGAACGGTGGTCCGGGATCATCATCCATGATAGGACTCTTCCAGGAAAACGGCCCATGCTGGATCAATGATGACTCTAAATCTACCACCAACAACTCATTCTCGTGGAACAATAGAGTAAACATGCTCTACATTGATCAACCAAACCAAGTCGGTTTCAGTTATGACGAGCTTACCAACATCACCTACTCTACCATCAATGATACGATATCTGTTGCTGACTTTTCTAGCGGTGTCCCCGCGCAAAATCTCTCTACGTTGGTTGGAACTGGTAGCAGCCAGAAACCTTGGGCAACTGCCAACAACACTGTGAACGCTGCTCGTTCTATCTGGCACTTTGCACAAGTGTGGTTCCAGGAATTCCCTGAACACAAGCCTAACAATAACAAGATCAGCATCTGGACCGAGTCCTATGGAGGAAGATATGGTCCCTCATTCGCCTCTTACTTCCAGGAGCAGAATGAAAAGATCAAGAACCATACCATTACCAAGGAAGGCGAGATGCATATCCTAAACCTCGACACCCTCGGTGTCATCAACGGCTGCATCGATCTCATGTTCCAAGCAGAAAGTTATGCTGAATTCCCATACAACAACACCTATGGTATCACGGCTTATACCAAAGAGAAGCGCGATGCTATAATACGCGACATCCACCGTCCCGACGGCTGCTTCGACAAGCTTGCCAAGTGCCGTGAGGCTGCCAAAGAAGGAGACCCTCACTTCTACAGCAACAATGCGACCGTCAACGCAATCTGTGCGGAAGCTAACTCTGACTGCGACAAATATCTAATGGAACCTTTCCAAGAGGCCAACCTTGGTTACTATGATATTGCCCATCCTCTTCAGGATCCCTTCCCCCCACCATTCTTTAAGGGCTTCCTCAGCCAATCTAGTGTCCTGTCCGACATGGGATCGCCAGTCAACTTCAGTCACTACTCCCAAGCTGTGGGGAAATCATTCCACGGCGTGGGTGATTACGCTCGCCCTGATGTGCGCGGCTTCACCGGTGACATTGCTTATCTTCTCGAGAGCGGAGTCAAGGTTGCTCTCGTCTATGGTGACAGAGATTACATCTGCAATTGGCTCGGTGGTGAGCAGGTCAGTCTCGGCTTGAACTACACTGGCACTGAAGCCTTCCGCAAGGCAGGATATGCCGATGTCAAGGTCAACTCTTCATACGTCGGAGGCTTAGTGCGTCAACATGGAAACTTCTCCTTCACCAGAGTTTTCGAGGCCGGCCATGAAGTTCCTGGCTACCAACCGGAGACTTCCCTCAAGATCTTTGAGCGTATCATGTTCAACAAGGATATTGCTACCGGAGAGCTCGACATCGCTCAGAAACAAGACTACGGTACCACTGGAACTGAGTCTACGTTCCAAGTCAAAAACGAAATCCCTCCTTCACCAGAGCCGACTTGCTACCTCCTCAGTGCTGACGGAACTTGTACGCCGGAGCAGCTTAATGCCATTGAGAATGGAACTGCAGTTGTTGAGAACTACATTATCAAGAGCCCTGCTGCATCGAAGGGAAACCCTCCACCAACCACGACCTCGTCTCCCACAGCATCCCCTACCGCTGGAAGTGCCATGCTAAAGGCTCCTGTTGCAATGCTGGCAATATCAGCTCTCACTGTCCTTGCTTTCTACTTGTAGCATGCTTGAAGTATATACCTAGAACGAAAGTTTATACAGAGACATGCATATTTATGAAAGTCTAGAGCTCAGGTAATCTAACGAACAGTTTATATTTATTCATGAGCATTTTAAACATAAACACATCATAATCAGTAGAAGCGAAGTCGTAGCACTTATTACATAGAAATCACAGTCAACAATTGCTCTCACCATAAGAGCCCACCGCCTAAAGCCAAATCTAACATGCCCCGACACGCATAGAATGCATACCTTAACGGAATAATTCATCACATTGTTCATCCATGTCATCTCAACCGGTGACTGACTTGCATTTAAGACCCCGAGATAACCACCCCCTTCCCTGTTAACCATCCCCGTCCTTTTAAGATAGTACTCATTACCTGGACATGAAGAAAACATGAGTACCTACAGTCATGAGATTTGAAAGTAGATACGTACTCACTGCTGGGTGTCCAACCAATGCTCTATCACAGCCAGATAATCGGCTTTTTTCTCTGCTTGATCAAGACGAAGTTTTTTCCGCGGGACATCAGAATCTTAAAAGAAAAAGCCCATGGATATTCCATGCATAAGTCAGGCTGCCAAACACATCTCTTAAGAAAGAAATGAGCAGGGGTGCAAAGGGCGGGCAATATGTGCTCAGGTGCAGCGTACGGACCCTCATCAGACCCTGTATCCGAAGACACGTCCGGGTCGTATCCGCTGTCCGAAACGGAATCGCCAGCATTGGCGTTGGTATATTGGGAATATCTATCCTGGACCTGAAGCATATTCCTACTAGACGACCTGCGGGACGCGAGCTTTTGCTTCTTCTGGTGCCGTTGAACTCGAAATTGATGTTGATTCCATAGACGTTGGAGGTAGCGTTGACGTCGACGCTCGTTTATATTGAGATGCCGCTGACCGACAGCTATGGAAGCAGCCGCAGCTGCAATGGCGGCTGCAAGCCTTGCGACCTCCATTGTGTCCATCATGTACTAAGTATGTCGGTTGTCCTGTAACTCGAGCATTGATTAGGATACATGAATTTAACAGGGAGATGTTGTGAGGTTGATAATGGCTCACGAGGTTAATTTTGATCAATATCAAAATCTTTTAACTCAAGTCTGTCCCTTAAATTAACTAGTTAGCGGCCGGCCACGGTAGAGAATTAACTCCAACGGCGGTCGTCAGTAGGTCAAACCAATACTCTGGTGAAACGTAACTTGAACAGCTTATTAGCATAGGAGATCGTGGCCCGCGATTTAGAATTTGAGGGTGGGTAGCCTGCCTAACATAGAGGGCGCAAATACTCTGCGTGTTGCTCAACTATCGTGTCATGCACAGACGCAAGAGAGATCTAGATGAAGTCACCGACAGGAGTAGACTGGAGCTGGTAGAAGTATTAGCCATAGTTCCTTTATAGATAACTACCTCAAATTTATACGCTTGTTTGCTGAGCTTTAACTGTCATCGAGAGAGACCCTACATCATCAGGCAGGTTCCAGCATCAACGCATCAACAGTATACACTGATCAACAATCAACGCACAAAGAATGTACTGTAGACATGCAGCAAATTGACACGAAAAACACACTAGATACATGCATAGTCCTTATATTTCTTAATAATAGCCGAATACTGACAGGTGTGTAGGGGGCAAAAGAATATTTCCCCGCAACGCGTCTAAAAAAACAGTGTGGATACATCAACGAGTGTGTCTTTTTAATTTCTCCTTCAGTCTCTCCCAACTTG